ACAAATTTGTTGTTTCTTATCATTAAAATTTTATTTTCTTTATTCTTTTCAGTATTTTGCCAGCAAAAAAAGTGATTATTAGTTTCATTCAGTACGGCCATCCTGAATTATATGTTAACAAAAATTTTATATACCCTCTAAACCTAGAAAAGTTATTGTCACTTAAAGTCCCAAAATTGCCATTTTCGGACAAATTTTTATATTGAAAGCACAAACATTATTTAAATTTCACAAACGTAGCAAAGCATAGTTAAAGATTAAAATGACAAAATAACCATTAAAATTAATCATAATATAGAATTAGCCTTGTTTTACATTACTTCCCTCCCGCTATTAAGTATTTTCTCTGGAATTCGGTAAAACTTCAATTTTAGCCACCTTCTATTTCCGAATTTGCAAGCTTATCCAAAACAAAAAGAAATTAATGTGCTTCCAACAAAAAAAAATTGTAATTAATTGTCTTATAACTCTCTTAATTACTCAGTGGATTCGACCATCATATTAACGCTTCTTTTAAAATTATGATTATTCCCCTAAAAGTATGCAATATTTTATATTGATAATATAAAATATTGCAATAATATTTGGTATGTTAATGAAAATATAGTAATTTTACTTATTTAACGCAAAAATACTGCTTTACAAACCACTGGTATTATCCAAATTTATTTTTTTCATTATTTTCTAAATTAATCGATTTTATATGGAAATTCGATATTCCTGCTAAAAATTAATACATAAGCTTATAAATTATAAAGTTATCTTTATTTAATTTGATTTGATAGCCCGGATAATTTTTATTTTAGATTTTTGATAATATTTTTAATGCCTATAAAGATTACAAATTTATGTACATGATTTCAATTTAATTTTAATAGTTTAACATTTTGTATAAATCTTTGTATTGTATAAAAATGAAATGCGTAAATAAATTTTATACGCATTCAAAATTTTCATGCCCATATTGTTTTATTGTTTGCTTTTCTTAGAAAAATAAATTTTATTCATGTTTGCCAGAGATTTAAACTAATCTCGAATATATGGCAATTAACAAAAATTAGAATTCAATGACCTATTTTTGTTTTTCATTTAAAGCCATCACATTTAATTTATATAATATAAGGATATTTATATAGTTCCGAAGTATTAATTTTAAAATAATATTAAATAACACTTTAATATTAAAGCAAAAAATTTTAATGTGTTCCTGGATAATGTCCTTAAAGACGTGTTCTAATTTGTATTGGCATTCTACGGCTCACACAAGAAGCACACACATCATTAAACAGAAATAAATCAAAAAGTTTTAAGAAAAATTTTAGGAAAACGCAATGATCTGTGATCTGAAGTTGCCAAAAATTTAAAGAAAATTAACTAATAAATTTTAAAAGTACATGTAAATTAAAAAAAAAAATTGCATACTTTTAGGCAAAAATATTTAAAAAAACGTTTCCATTTTATTTTCTTTTTATAACTTGTTTGAAATATAAACCGGACGATTCAAAAACAAATTAAGAGCCATACACCATCGGGTAAACGATCGTGTAATGAGTAAAAATTTTTTTTTTTGGAACGTACTGTTAAAACGGAACCGTTTCAGTGCTGCAAAGATTTTAAGAAAATTTGATGAATCCCTCTGTATAGGTACATGCATACAAACCCATATATACGTATATGAATGCAAGTATATACATACTATAACACTCTTCAAAATTTTTTGTACATATTACATAATAATGACCAAGGACTATTTTAAATGAACACATGGAAATATTGTCTAAAATTGATTTAATTATTTTCCTAGAATTAAACAATAATTGACTAAATCTGATAATATAGCCCATATGTCATTTATATAATAATTATTTTATTAATTAATTTTTAAAAGTGTGTATAGATTTATTATGTGCATGTGTCGACAAAAATTAATATGATATTACTTGCCTACGGTTAATTATCAAAATGAGACAAGACAAAGAATAATAAAGGAAAATTTTATTTTCTAAAATAATTTTTTAGCTTATAGGCATATTATAATTTTTTAATTAAGTGCTAATCATAGATTTATTTCGATTTCATTAGATTATTAATAGCCTAATAATATGCAATTCCTATTATTCTACATTTTGTGTTATAACATAATATTTTGCATTTCTTTTTTTTGCTAATTTAAGTGTAATACAAGGAAACATTCGACTAACAATAAATGTTAACGAAATTTTTATATTCTTTTTATAATTCAGGGTTCGGTAATATAGACCAGACTCATTTTTCATATTTTGCTCAACATCAATTTACATAAAATATTGAAAGAGACACATACGCTATATGCAGTACATATGCAGTATAACAAAATGAAGTACACTTTTCTATATTACAAAAAACTTAAAATCCCATAAATATTCATAAAATAAAATAATATAATTTAAAAATATTGTCTCTATCCCTCTCTCTCATTGTCTATAACGTCAATCTCTATTTATGTATATCGTATATATGTTCAAATGTATATCGTATATCGTTGTATATCGTATATTTGTAAAAATATATTAATGTACATAAATTATTATTATTAAAATGTAATATTTTATTTGAAATGAAATCTGATGAAGTAAAATCAAAAAATTGTAAAAATAAGAATTCTAACAGCACTTTTTACTCATATATTCTATAAAGCAGGGGAATTGAAGTCTTATGAAAAAAATATGGCAACAAAAAATAGAGAAGAGAGGAGTGAGAAATGCGAAGTAATTGTTTCTAAAAATCAGTCACCACACAAAAAAAACAAGAATACTGCTGACATACAAAGGAAAGAAAGAGAATAATTGAAAACAAAAGTTATTTTTCTCATTTTTTTTGGGTTTTTTTTCTCCTGTTTTTTTTTGCTTATTTTAAGATCAATGTCCTTAACAACAAAATGCTAAAATATTATCAGGTATTTAGATTTTTTTTTTCTTTATATTTTTTTTTTTTACCTTGTTTTTAACTAATTTTTACAATTTCAAAGGAAATTCCTTAATAGCTTTATGATGTTATTTTCAACTTCAAAAAAAAAACAAAATTTTTTTTCCATACTCATTTTATTTCTTTGTAGCATAGTCTAACCAAAGATTGTAAAACATAAAAAAGAAAAAATATAAGAAAGAATAAGTCAAATAAAATAATAGGATCCTTTTGAATTTTAAAATGATTTTCTGAGAATAATAATTTGATATTTAAGAATTTGTTTTTTTTTCACAAAAAAAAAGAAAGTATGAGTGACGTAATCATGAGAAAATGAGGGAAGAGAATCATTCAGAGATTTTAACTCCAGAGTGCCGAATTTCAAAAGTGCGATATTTGACACAATTCGATTCGTAAAAGTGACGCACGGGTGTCCAATAAAAAAACTTAATAATTCGACACTCGAAATAAACTTCAACCAGTATTAAATGCAAAAATCACCCTTCTATACAAATCAATTTCTTTTAACAAAAACGAGACTCGAATACATTTAAAAATTATAAAATCATTTCTACTCTTTTATGGTTTGCTTCTGATTACATTCATAATGTTTCTAAAGAGAAACAACCCACATCTACTCTATTACAACTAATTTTAATAAATTATATCTTAATTTTTTTTAATAATATATAAGACATCTAAATTTATCCTGTGTATTAACATTATTAATTATTATTGTATTTATTTTAATTAAAATTTATTGAAACTAATTTGTTATGTCATCCATTTTAACTACATACATATTAATATCGTCTCTATTTCTCTCTATTCTTCTCTCTCACACTCTCCACTTAAATTTACTTTTCACCCCATTAAACTTTTGATATTTGCACTTCATTTGCAAAAAAAAAAAAACTATAAATAAATAAAATAGCCATAATTTCTTTATCTCAAAATTTCTTAACAATAATAACATATACACACAATAATAATATACTTCTCTTTCTATACGTATGTATGTCAAAATTTACTACAGCAAGCGAAAGTCAAAAAATATTCTTAACTATTCAATAAATACGAAAACAATAATTCATTTCATTTTTTGTTTCTTTTTTGGCCTCTCTAATTTTTCTTGCCTACATTCATTTTATTTTCATTTCCCACGATAACATTAACAACAACAACATTTGTACAATTTTTATAAAGTAATTGAAAATAGAGAAAACGATCTGTATGGTAAAACTTCTGTAAAAAAAAAAATTAAATTAGAAAGAATTCAAATGACAAAATAATTTCTCTTTCTTCACTGTTATGTTTCTCTACTGTTATTATGACATTGCTTTTGCTTCTTTACCATTATGAAAGGCAGAAGTGAAAACAATTCTATTACTCTACTACAGTACTACACTTCTTCCACCATTCATTACAAGAATAGTGAGAGGAGTGAAAAGAGAAAACAACAGAGAGAAAAATAATAAAGAAAATAAAAAAGAGTGGGATTTATCAAAAAAAAAAGCACAAGAATCCCACATAATGTAATATTGTTGCTTAAGGTAAATAAATAAAAAGGAAAATAAGGATAATGTTCTAATAAAAATGGAATTTGAAAAAAAAAGCAAAAATGATAATAGTGAAATGATAAAAAAAAAATACGAGACTGACCTAATCCAGTTAATGGTCTATTTTGTTGCGTGTAATTTTTTCTTCAACAAAAAAGAAAAAAATCCTTATAACAAAAGCCGAATTCCGAATTCGTTTTTGTGTAGGAAATAAAAAATATCAAACAAACAAAAAAAAAATTTTTTTTTTTACATTTCTGGTTTTCTACTTTTGCCTTTTCTATCTTAATACAAAAACTTTATCATAAATAATTCAAAACAACAAAAACGGAAAAAACGAAAACCAACGAAAAAAAAAAAATTGAAACTCAAATTTATAATAAGAATTTACGAAACCAAAAATTTTGTAACGTAATTTTGCTTGTACTAGTGCGTATTTTATATATTGTACTTTTATATAATGGTATGTATGTGTGTATATAAATATTAAATACTTACGTTGAATGTAAATCCCTATAAATTGCTTCATCTGAATGACTTCTTTCATTTTGTGACAGCTGAACATTAAAACCCCTACAATTGTAAAAATGAGAAAAAAATTATTATTTTTTTTTTTTTATAGTTGTGTGTAGGTGTGTTTAAATACGTTAAAATTACGATATAATAAATATTTATGTAAATATTAATGTAATTGATAAACTAAAGAATTTTAAGAATTGGTATTTAATAATAATTTTTTGGAAAATTTAACTTCATTTTATAGATAATTGGCAATGCTGTTTATTATAGGGATGATTGAAAACAAATGGTCGTAAAATAATAAAGAAAAATGATTAAATATTGTGTGATCAGCCTCATCGGTTGTTAAGTCTCATATGTCAGGTGCATGGCAGAGAATTGGCAGAGTTTAATAAATTCTTTAGTATATCAAATAATCATACCTAATTAGCCTGATTTCAATATTTTAAACTCATATAAGGCATATTGGAAGAGCGTTAAGTCTCATACAGATTACAGATACAAACGCATACAGATTTCTAATGCTAGATTAATTTAGAATACAATTACTTAATATATGTCATATAATTTCATGAGTAAAATTCATTAGTTCTAAAAAAAAAGGGCAATCTTTAATATTAAATACTAAAAAAATATTAATGACTCTACAATTTTTATATAAGTATGATTTTAAATAATTAAAAGAAAACCCAAATTTTCACCTCTAATCTAATTTATAATGAAAATAATTTTATGTCATAAAATAATATTATGTATGTATGTACGTATGCGTGTATATTTTAAGGATAATGAACATAATTTGACATTAATAGGCAACAAATTCTCTTAATATTTTTTTGTTACTTTAGTTGTCATTTTGTTTTTATGTAAATTTCAAAAATGAAACAAATTGTTATCATTATCATATTTTTTTTTGGGTATTTGTTTTTCTTTTCTTCCTCCTTTTCTATTATGATTATATTGTCCTTTTATTTACTTATTTTTAGAACGACAAAAAAATTAGAATTTGCAAGCAAACGTGCCTATTCGTTTCAGTATGTCCGCCAAGTATATAGTATGGTATTTTATTTGAGATCAATTAAATTTCCTTGTTCTTGCACCTTAGAAAGGGCCAGTTACCACAAGTTTTACAAAATAATTGGCATTCAGTCTGATATTTCTCCAACATTCAAAGGTTCATGAAATTACTATATCGTTCCCACAATGACAAACGCACGAATTTACCTAATCTATCTACTAAAATCGAGTGAATATTACAGTAGTATTCGAGTATTATATAATTTCTTCATTTTGGTGACTACCTGCGTAAGTTTCCAAAAAAAAAAAACTAGAGTAATTTTGCACAAAAGTATAATTTGGGAATGATATGAGTAAAAACGTAACTGTAATCATACTCTCATCTAAAGGTAGTATACTCTCATCTATACTGCAGCTTATTCTGTTTATTAAATTATTAGATGATAGTATTAATTATCGTAAAAAGTTCGATATTATTATTGTAAACACAAACCAATTCATACAAATGATTCGTGTCTATAATAAAATTTTTAGAATATTTTACGACAAAATGTCGTATTGATTTCTTTATTTGATACACAGAATCCCCACTGTTATTAAATTAAATTTTTGCGGTATTATAAAATTTTTTGAATACTATCGGTTTAAGATTCCTCCTAAAGTTATGCAAATTTATAAGGAAATGAGTATTACTTCAAAATTTGATTATTTAGCCCTTAAATTTTAGTAATACAAGTTCAAAACCATGGTGGAAATGTGCCATTTTACAAACCGTACATTTGATTAACTACTTTTTTATTATACACATTAAAAGTAGAAGACAAAAGCCAGTCATATATAGGTGACAAAAAAAAACAGGACTAGAAAAGTTTATGACTAAAAAAGAAAAAAACTTGGTGATTTATTTTTCCATTTTTTTCTCCCGAAAAATTCTTGAATTATGCAAACTATATTGAATTGTATATGAGGGCGTATACCTATAGCAAAAAAAAAAGAAAATCTCATTATATTTAAATTTATATTTATCATGAAACTTAAGTTTATATTTATAATTAAAAATTACACAGAAAAAAAAATTATTTTCACATTTCTACATTTTTTTTTTCAGCAAATGAATTCGTCCTCGTTCATTTTTAGTAAAAAATTTATCTTGAAAAAAATTTTTTCTTTGATATGGAAAATTCTATTAATTTATAATTTTATTTACAGGATCTACTTATTTCTATTGTATTTTTAGAATGATATTAATATTCTCTATATATTTTTCATTATTTTCATTTAAAAATAGAAGTTTATAATGTTTGATTTATTTTTGAAAATTTTTAATACCAATTTCTTTTTTTCAAAATGCCATCCGGTTTTACATGTAATTTTAAATTTTAGTGCAATGTAGGAAGTGATAAATAATATAATATATCCTTATATTTATAGAATATCCTTGTAAATCACCTTAAAAATTTTAACAGAGCTTTTAAAACTCTAATTATATTTATTTGCTTGCAATATAGAACAAAGGAGTAATTAAATATATTAGAAATGAAATTTTTATTATTAGAAATTTTTCAAAAATTAAATTTATGATTAAATTTAGCTTAAGGCTTTCAAGGAAATCAGATTATAGATCAGATATCGATCATATTATCATTATTCTCTAATATTACTATTAACAGTTTCTTAGCACTTCTTATAATCGCAATGTTTCTCACACAACTGACACAATGTTTTGCCACTTTCACACTCCATTTCGAATACTCAATTTCTCTAAAAAATTCAAAGAGAGAATGAGATAAGAGATATATGAATAGAAAAAATAACAGTATAGCTCAACATACTACATAATAGAGTTGAGCGGATCATTTCTGATTCTCAGAATTAATATTGAGAAAATACTGCTGACATACAAAGTTGATAAGTTGCTGACGATCAAATTCTCATAAAGCAAAAATAAAGCAGTATTAGTGAAAATTAAAAATAACATTTATATAAGCAATTGAAAATTTCTTGCAAAATATTAAATAAAATATCAAAAACACATTTACATTTCATTGAAAATTAAATGAATAAAATATGAAGGAAAATGAAATTTAATAATAATTTGAAAAGAAAACAAAAAATTTTTAAGAAATAATTTTTTTTTTTAATATTCCATTAAAATAATAAAATTTTATATGAAAAAAAAAATTTAACAAAATATGATTTTATATAAATTAAATTAACTTTTAATTTCCAATTTATTAAATAAAATTAATAAACATGCTTGTTTTTAAATAATATTATTTACGAAGGCGCAAATTAATATTTAACATGGAAATTTACCTTTGAAATAAGTATATACAAACACAATATAATGTAAGCCACTTATTTACATCATGGCGAACATACGAGGAGGATGAGCGGGGCGCTAACGATCCCTGCTGGAGTGACAAGAAGGAAGAGGAAACGGTGGCTCATCACCTGTTCCCATAATCAGCTTTGGCACGGGTGAGGTAGAAGATTTTTGTATTTTCTTATGCGGGTTACAGACCTGGCCAATGCATATGCCAGAGATTTAAACCGATTTTGCAAAGGACTCGGGTCTATCTGGTCAAAAAACACGCACGCAAACATTTTTTGCCCGATATTCTCTAATTCTCTCTTAACAAGCAATCTTTCTACATAATTTCTTATCTATATTTACAATTAAAAATCCTCTTAAATATTACAAAAAAAATATTTTAAAATCTCTACACAAAAACATCGAGTATTGTAGAATTTCTCATTTATCTACCGAAAGCAATTTAAAAACATTTCGACATTCCCTTTCGAAATTGTTCCCCTACATTCCAAAATTTTAAATTAATTTAATTAAAATTTAATATTCTTTCCTCTTCGAGCAAACAGAAACTCTTTTTCTTTCCTTTTTTTCAAAATTTAACACCTGAATTTAAATGATATATTAGTGTCAAAAATGAATGTCATATTTGTATCAATCAAAATATACAAATTGCCATCTCTACTTTCATAATTTTTTTTATCATTTTCTTTCACTCTTTTATATACAAGTATAACACATAGCACAACAATATATACTTGTCTTCTAATTTTCATAAACTTTTATGTATACACAAGAAAATATAAGAAACTTAATCAAAAGGAAACCATTTATTTAATCGGTTAGGGTTAACACCTTTACACTTCATTAACATAACAGTATTAAATTAACAATAGTAAATTTACTTATACATTCATCTATAATAGAGAAGGGAGAGTAAAAATTTCAAGTTAGCATAATTTTATTCTAATATTTTTGTTTACTTTTGAAATATGTATATAATATTTCTTTGTTATATAAGATTCTTAAAAGTAAATAAAATTAAAAATAGAATCTACAATAAGGGTCAGTTATGAATTTTTAAAATTTGTGTGAAAAAAAAAAATATTTTAAACAAAATGAAATTTAACCTTTATTAAGAAGAATATTTTGAATTTTTCAAGTAAACACAAGTATATAAATAAGTAAGTAATAAGTAATATAAGCAGATTATAAGTGAAAATGGGAGATAAAAAATAATTAAACTTAGAACAGTATACAGCATTGAACAACAATTTGAAATTATTACTAATTCTTTTTTGACAGATTTAATGCTAAATTTAGCAAAATTTCACTTCTTAGTAGCACTATAATGCAAACTACGGTTGCCATATGAAGAAAATAATAATTATTTTCAATTACTTAGCACAAAAATTAATTTTCAATATGAAATTTCAATTTTCTAATTTTGCTGATTTTATCTTAATTTTTTTTTTTTTTGACAGATTATAATGCCAATTTTAGCCGAATTTTTCTGATATTTTCATACTTTGCCGTATATGACGACTATTATGGCCGGCAGGTGTTTGCCTTAATTATATTAAAATTTCCTTATATCTTTAGAAACAAGAGAATGATAAGGATTTGAGTTTCGAAAATATTTTGAAAAATATTTTTAGCAGAAAAACAAAATATTTTTACTAATTTTAAAAAAAAAAAATCTGCTAAATCTCAGTACTTCATAAAA